CAACCCAGGCCTGCACTTAGTACTTCCATGAGTCTAACCTTCTTAAGACTTGGTTTCACCGTCTGTTAAATGACTACAGAACAAGGTCCTACTTCACAATTTGTTAAATGAAACAACACATATCAAGTCATTAGCACAGCTCTAGGATACATGTATCAATAAATGCCAATATAACCTTGAAGACATTATGTTAGGTGAAATAAGCCAGTTACAAAAAGACAAATGCTGTATGTTCCACTTATATGAGATACCTAAAGTAGTCTACTGCATAAAAGCAGAAAGTAAAATGATGGGTGTCAGGGCCCGAGGAAGAATGAATGGGGAATTGGTGTTTGATGCGGGCAGAGTTTCAGTTTGGAAAGATGGAAAAGTTCTGAGGATGCATGGTGGTGCTGGTTGCACAACAACATGAATGTACTTAAGTGTACAGAGCTGTGCACTTAAAAATGGTTAAAATGAGAAGTTTTATTTTATGTATATTTTACCACAAAAAAATCATCATAGCCTTTTCTGCCTCATTAAGATAATTTGGAATTTAATACATGTTTGATCCCCTAGGAGCTAAAAAGACGTAGTTTTTTAGGTGAAATCTCCCCTTACCTTTTTTGTTGTTGCTGTTGCTGATGGTGACTGTGGCATAGGAAGAAACATATTTTCAACGAAAACGATAGTGGGAATGATAGAGAAGGTCAGATGAATCTGTTACTAAGAAAGTCCTTCATGAAAGAAGGAGACAGAAGGAAGATCAGGAAGAAACACAAGTGGCAGTGGTGGGGGAAGGAGGGACAGAAAGGAAGGTGAGTAATTGAAGGGTTGGAACTGTGATAACCGGTCACCCAGGACATCTTCCTGCTGCAGGCCAAACAGCCCTGGGTGTTTTTCTTACTCCAAAAATATCTCCAGGAAATAGACTTCTTATTTCAATATAGGAAGCCAGTCCAGGTTCAGACAACACAGCACAGAAGGTGGCCCAAGAAGTTCAAAAGTCAATTCCATGTGTAGATGAATGCACTCCAGAACAGAGTGGTAAAAACCAGATCCTACAACAGAATCTGACATTAGGCTGCTCAGTAAATGTCAGGAATGTGGTCAATAATACACATAAAATGCACAGTTGTTACCATAGTCAATAAACAATCGAATGCGGAATAAATGGATTGAAGTTATGTCTATAAAGGGTTGTTTTCCTTTCTAATCAACTGACTGAACTTTTCTTTAATTCTGCATAAAGTGTGCCTTTTCAGGTGTAGGGTGTAGTAATGAAGTCAGGCCTGATGGCTGGGGTTAGTTAAAAACCAGTAGTCCTAGGGCGCCACCTACTGGTGAGACAACTGCAAAGGCCTGGCCGAAGGGGCTGTCCAAGCAGTAGCAGCAACAGGTCTCTAACATCAGTGAGTGTAAGTTGTGTTCTGAAACTGTGCAGCGTTTTCAGGGACATAGCGAGTCTTAAACTAAAACCCACTCTGTTGTAAGAGCTGGGTTTAATAGAATCTAATTTCACTGTAAGTGTCATTCTTCTTCAGAGAATGCTGCCTTTTAAATATCATATTTGGTATAACAAATGTCATATAATGAATACCTGTGGACCCATTACCCCACCCAATCCAGAACACTTCACATGTCATCAGTGTGACAGTGACTAAATAGTGGTGATTTTGTGTTCACATAGTACAACGTGAAATGAAAGAACCCTAGGTTCATGTAACACCATGAGTGAATCTTAGAAGCATAATGTTGATTTTTTTTTTAATAAAGCCAGATCTGGAAGTCTACATAAAGTATGGTGCCATTTTTATAAAGTTCATGAACAAGAGAATATTCATTTTCAAGAAAATCAAATTCTTTGGAGCCTTTAACACTGCAACAACAAGGGGTGTGCTGGGTAGACCATCCCATGTATAAATGTGTTCATTTGGCTCCCTCCACAGTGCACCAGGTTCAGAATGTGTGTGTGTCCTGACTAAAATCACCCTGGCAGAAGGAAAAGGAGAATATCCCTATAAATGTTAACTCACTGTTATTTTCCTCCCTCTAATCACCAGCAGCTTTGGACAAGCTTACCGAATGCCTGTGATTCCACTCTCTCAAGTCCTATCAAGATGATAGAAGAATATACCAGTGAAGATAAATCAGTATGGAGCTCGAAGCTAGAAAGACCAACCAAAACAGAGAGGACTTTCTAGAGAAGGTAAAGCCGATGAAATCCTCCGTTCAGCCAAGGAGACCGAGCCAGTGCGGGTGTTTGCACCAAGGTGCTCAGGTTGTATGCAACAGGGGCAGACTGCCTCTGCGAGGACAGCCGGAGATCCAGGCTTGGGCAAGAAGAGGGACCAGCGCAGCTTCAGAGATCTAGGAGTGGGAAGTACAGAGACTGGTACTGTGCGAATGATCAGCTCCAACTCCTGTTTTCATTCTTGCCTGAATCCAATCAAGGTACAAAGTTCCACAACAAGAGAGGATGTTTACTCCCCTACCTTGAGTCAAGGGCCTCCTTGGCTAGAAGGGAAAGCCCCCTGACTAAAGTCCCTACAATAGGGAGCACATTCCTACCATGTGCTTAGTACATAAACTACATAGTTGGGAAAATATTGACCCCTCGTGAAAAACAAAAAGCATGTTTGATAGTGTGGCTAGGGTAATTCCATTTATATAAAAATCAAAGAACTCTGCATGTGTGCTTGTGTGTAAGTACCTGTGAGTAATGTAAATATCTTTAAACAACAAGGTGGAGGAAATATACCTGAAATTTTTTTAACAGTGGTTCCCCTGAAGAAGCATTTTGGGATTTGGGTGCACAAAGGGGAAATTTCACTTATTACTCTAAGTAAAAACATAAAGTTACTTGAATTTTTAACATCAAGCATATTTTATGCTTTGAGTCGGTAAGAACTAATTGAGTGCATATACTATTGTGTCCTGACTGTACATTTGAATAGAAGAGTGGCGCACAACTTGGCACAAATCATATCTACTTTCTAACTTGTTTAAAATCCAAGTAAAAAGAAAGGATGTTTACTTAAGAAAATAAATCATCACGTAAGATAGGTAGACTCTATGTTCAGAGCCAACCAGATGAGACAGACATGAAGCCCATCCAAGATTTCAGTGGGGAAAGCGATCACTAACGGCGAACAGAGCTGAGGAAAATTCGAGCAGAAGACAGTGCCAGGCTAGTCACGAAGCAACAGCTTAAATAGGGAGAGGAAAAGGGAGTTGGCGTCCCAGGCAGACGGAGGGCGAGGGAAAGAAAAAAAAAAAAGATGAGAATGCCTAAGACGTCCACTGATCAGGGGCGGGAGTTCCTGGCTAGATAGAGTGTATGTTACCTAGTACAAGAAATGCAGTGAGCCAGCTGCAAGGACCTGCATGCTGGGAATTTGACTTCAGCAGATGGCCACGGGAGCCACTGCAAGCTCTCCAGCCCAGAAGTGATAGATGCAGATACTATCTAGAGCAGTGATGGCGAACCTTTTGAGCTCGGCGTGTCAGCATTTTGAAAACCCTAACGGAACTCTGGTGCCTTGTCACATACAGAAATTTTTTGATATTTGCAACCATAGTAAAACAAAGACTTATATTTTTGATATTTATTTTATATATTTAAATGCCATTTAACAAAGAAAAATCAACCAAAAAAATGAATTCGCGTGTCACCTCTGACACGCGTGTCATAGGTTCGCCATCACTGATCTAGATAGATACTTTGGGAAAATGAATCTGTCAATGGCTCAGGGAAAACACTGGGTGGTGGAGAGAATAGGAGCAGTTAGGTGAAGAAGGAATTAGTGTAATCCAGCCCTGGCCAGGTAGCTCAGTTGGTTAGAGCATGGTCCAGATACACCAAGGTTGTGGGTGCGATCCCCAGTCAGGGCACATACAAGAATCAACCAATGAATGCATAAATAAGTGGAACAACAAGTTGATGTTTCTCTTTCTCCCTGCCCCAACCCCCTTCCTCTCTCTCTCAAAAATCAATCATATATAATAAAAGGCCGGGACCATAAGCGGAACGACCAGAACAACCGCTCGACCAGTCGCCATGAGGTGCATTGACCACCTCTCTGTCCCTCCCCACCACTCCTGTCCCGCAGGCTCCAATCGCAGCATGGCGGACTGGGGACTGTTGAGCTGCAGTGGGCAGTGAGTGTCACGGAGCTTTGTGGGGCTGCGGAGGCAAGCATCGCAGACCAGGGAGCGTCACGGAGGGGCAGGGACATGGCCCTGATCGCAGGCTAGGCCTAGGGACTCTACTCACGCACGGTTTCGTGCGCTGTGCCTCTAGTCAATTATAAACAAGAAAGAAATTAGTGTAATCTGAGTTTATGAGGTCTGGTATACAGCAAAGGATTAAAACCAGCAAAGAAAGCACAAATGACAATATGAGATAATATCTATGGGCCAAGCATCTTCCTAAATGATTTATATGTTTATGTAATATATGTATATATTTATAACATACATATAAGATTTATGTAATTCACTTAATTCTTACAACAGCCCTGTAAGATAGATGCCATTATTATCCATTTTCCAGAAGAGGAAACTGGGGCCTGAAGAAGTTGTTTGCCTAACATCGCACGGCTAAAAAGTGGTAGGGAGCTCTTATTTGGAGCCACTACACTTAAAGGGAGGCCAAGAAGAAGAAAGAAAAGGTTACACTGGGCATATAAGGAGGAGGACAAGTCCAAGTCTATAAGCCTGTAGGATGGAGGGTGCTAAGCTCCAAAGGACGAAGGGGACTGCAGCAAGAGTGCTACAGAGAAGGCAGCAGACGTCCAACATCAGCTCTTCTTCTCCTAGTCAGCGGGCAGGAGTCAGGGGTCCCTTAAAGAATCTGAAGAAAGAATGGGCCTTCTCAGTAGCAGAAAACCCACACATGCACAAACAAAACATCACACACGATTTCCGTAGGTTCATGAACTCCAGGTAAGTCTTGCCCTAAATATACCGTGCAAGTAATTCAATAACAAACATTTCTATAGTAGAAATTTTATTTCCATTCATAAAATATATCACTAAATAGCTGAAAAAGTTACATATTATCTTAAAACATAGATTTAAAAAATGATATCAGCTTCTCCTCAGCAAAATTTTTTTGTTTTATGTATTTACAAGAATATACTATACTTAGGTACACAACTTTCACTCAAGCCAGCCTGAGAAGGCCTTTGGACGTAGGTAGATGCTCCAATGAAGTTAATTTTCAGCTCTTCCTCCCTTGTGCAAATTCAATTTTACAAAAGTTCCTTTGAAAACAACAGCAGATATAGAGAGCTTCTAGAGAAAAGTCCAGCAAAGCAGCAGCTGAGAACACATTTTCTTTTAGTGATGAAGTTAATCTTGTTTTGGTAATCGATAACCAGTTGAAGGTGAGGGGGATAGGAGTTCTTAAGACTAAATTGTTTCTCTACGAGTCTTCAGCGTGATCCTGTGGAGAGGGCAGCCCTGCGCCCGTCTCTCTGCTGTAAGGTTGCCTGTTTTGGTAGCCGGAAGGATGTTTAGAAACATGGTCATCCATGTTCTGATACATCTGAATATGGGAAAGAGACAGAACACTCATCATCTGGTTAACACTTACATGTCATGTGACTATATTGCAAATTATTACTTACTTATACTATGCATAGGCTTTAGAGGCTATTCTACATATTAGTTGATAAAGCAATTTTGTGCCGTCTGTTAATGGAGAAATCAAGTCATAGTCAAATATTTTATTTCATTATTGTTTCTACTTTTAGATATAAAATCTTCATCTAGAAATCCTAAAGCCATGCAGAAAAACCACAAAAGAAAAAGTCCACAAAAAAGACAACTGTTCATTATGCAATTAATATAGGGAATTGATTCTTGATTTCTCACTTGGGAGTTTAGTGACTTTTCTAAAACATTTTTTATTTATTTTATTTTTAAAATACATTTTTATTGACTTCAGAGAGAAAGGAAGAGGGAGAAATAGAAACATCAATGATGAGAGAGAACCATTGATGGGCTGCCTCCTACACGGCCTACACTGGGGATTGAGCTCACAACCTGGGCATGTGCCCTGGCCTGGAATCGAACCAGGTTCATAGGTTGATGATCAACCAGTGAGCCATGCTGGCTAGGGCAATACATCTTTTTTGTGAAGTGAACGTAGCAGTTGGTGATGACCTATTGGACTTGCTGAAGCAAATGTATATCTCTGGCACTGAATTTCTAACCATCTAACGAAGACTGTGACAAAAATACCAATAATACTTCAAATTCAACATTTCTAAACCTGAATTCATTATGTTTTACATCTAAACCTTCTCGTCTTCCCGCATTTACAATTTCACTTAACACACTGCCATTCATCCAGTCCCACCATCTAGAAATTTCAGAACTACCTCCTCAAGCTCTCCCTATACCTACAGTCAACCAGTTATTGGGTCTAGTTCTGATTATATCACTTCTTTTAATGTCTTCCTTTCCATTTCTTTAAGTGACTTTTAAATGAACTTTTAATTGTACAACAATACATGAGTACATTCTCCTTATAAAAATTTTAAACCCTAGGTTTTCAAATGTATCAAGTGTTTTCAATATAAAGAAGTACATAAGATTTTCTTAAACTTTAAAAAATGGTTTTTCTATACATAGTTATGTTCTCCTTTTCATTCTGAATGTTATTTGTGTTTTCCCTTTTTCCATAACTATTTCTTTATTTTTAACATGCTTAGTGGTGTATTTGAATGTTTTATTAGTGTACAGTGTAAACTAGAGCCAGACTGCTGTATTCAAATCCTAAGTCTGATGTGTACCATGTTACCTTGAATAAATGACTTCACCTCTCTGTACCTTTACTTGTTGCTAAAGAGGTAATACTAGAACCCACCTCATAAGATTGACATGAGAATTACATGAGTTATTATAGGTAATATATTAGTAGAGTGTGTGGTAAACATTCAAAAATGTTAGCTATTATATTATTATTATTAGTTCAAAAAACAACTTTTGGTTTTTCTAATCACCTATTATTTTGTTTTTAATGCTGTTCTCAGTTTTAATTAATTCTGTCTTTATTAATTCCCTCCTTCTGCTTTGCTTATTCTCTTCTTTCTTTTCCTCCTCCTTATTCTTCATGTTTTTGTTAGCTTCTTCGGTTGAAAATACAGCCATTTATTTTAACTCCTTTTTTATTTTCTAATAAATGAATTTAAGTTAAAATTTTAGCTAGCTCCCACAAGTTTAAATATGCAGTGTCCATTTTTATTTCTTTTTCCTCTTTCCCCTTTTCTCCTCCTCCTTTTTAATCAAAGACTTGATTTGTAATTTCTAATATATGCCTTTGGGGCTTTTCGGGTTGCTATTGGTAATTTCTCATTTCACTGCACTGAGTTTAGTGGCCTGTCTGATAATAATTTTATTTATTTTAAAGTTCTCTTTCTTAAGTGGATTTACTAGTTCTTGCCATTTTGTTTTTCCTATATCTATTAGTCTCTTTGTTCTTTCTCCCTCAGTTTTTGGGTTGATCAGGTTTTCTATGGTCCTTGATTTCCTCCACATTGGACCTGAGGTTATACAGTAGATTTCTATTTTACCAGTGGTTATATTTTCATTTTTCACACCCATTTTATTCTTACATATATTTAACAGTGTGGCTGCTCCCAATGCAGAACTTCCGCAGAATCCCATTAGACCTCTTCCTACCCTTTTATGAAAGCACTTTTCCTTGTTCTTTCAAAGCACCTTCTGTTGTGGGTTTTCCCTCTTCAATTCAATCTTAACTGCTTGCATTGTCTCAGGGATTTTCCACAGTTTCTGGTCCACAAGGATCTCCTTGTTTTAAACACAATTATGCCTCACTTCTTTTAAAGTATACATTTGCGTATTTCTTGTCATCTATGAGGGCTGATATGAGAGAAGAGATGATGTGAGTTCAAGCCCCACAGCCACTGCCCTAGTTTGCTCCCTCATTTGTACTCACTCACCTACTGTTGCACTCACCTCTTTATTTTTTATTTTTTAAATATATTTCTATTGATATCAGAGAGGAAAGGAAGAGGGAGAGAGAGAAACATCAATGATGAGAGAGAATCATTGATTGGCTGTCTCTTGCATGCCCCACACCGGGAATCAAGCCCACAACCCAGGCATGTGCCCTGACAGGGAATTGAACCGTGACCTCCTGGTTCACAGGTCAACACTCAATCACTGAGACATACTGGCCGGGCACCTCTTTATTTTTATTATGTTGTGTTTTGTTTTGTTTTTTTATTTTAGAGAGAGAGGAAGGGAGAGGGAGAGAGAAAAAGATTGATGTGAGTGAGAAATATCAACCAGCTGCCTCCCTCATGCATCAAACCCACAACCTTTTGGTGCATGGGATGACATTCAACCAACTGAGCCACACTGGCCAGGGCTGCCCTCACCTCTTAACTGATATACTTACTCTCACTCTTTTGCCTTTGTTTTCCCTAATTTACTTTTATGATTCCTTTCTTTCCTTCTAGAAATATTTACGTCCAACTTCTATATACTAAACATTATGCTAGCAGCTGGATATACAATGGTTCATTTATTTAGTGACAGCTATTGTCTCCTGTCTAGGGGACTCAAAGATGAGGTGATATAAAGATGAGCAGCACCAGCCTTGTCCTCATACATCAAGTCCAGGGATGAGAAAGACAGGCCCACAAAACAAAGTTATCATATAATATGATTTACATCTCATATAAAAAGTGTTATAGAGCCCTAGCTGGTTTGGCTCAGTGGATAGAGCATCAGCCTGCAGACTTGAAGGGTCCCAGGTTCGATTCCGGTCAAGGGCATGTACCTTGGTTGCGGGCACATCCCCAGTAGCGGGTATGCAGGAGGCAGCTGATCGATGTTTCTCTCTCATTGATGTTTCTGGCTCTCTGTCCTTCTCCCTTCCTCTCTGTAAAAAATCAATAAAATATATATATATTTTTAAAAAGTGTTATAGAGTCTGAAAGAAGGAGCCTGAAAATTGACTAGAGAAGTTAGGGGAATCTTTTCAGAGAAGAGAATATTTGATCTGGCTCACTTTTTATATTAATTGAGGAATAATTCACTATAATACTATATTAGTTTCAGGTATACAACAAAGTGATTCAAAATTTGTCTATATTGCAAAATGATCATCACATAATTATAATTAACATCTGTCACCATACATAGTGATCTGGGTCTTTAAGACAAATATTGAAGCATGTTTGTCAGCTCTAAAATCTTCAATGGTTCACCGCTCTTTAAATAACGCTTTAGTAGGTTATTCAATGATCTCCCTGCCCTAACTCTACACTATCGGGGTTGGGTTATATCTAAAAGTATTAGCCTACATTTTTTCTATGCGTTTCCCTCCCTTTTTACTTGTTCTCTGAGGGCACTTTCTTTCCCTATCCATGATAAAGCAGAAACAGAGATTCTACAAAAACCATTCACATGCGTTCCAGAAGAGGTGACCCCAAGCAAAGTATGCTGGCCAGGTCTGTTTTCCCATTCAAGAGCCTGGGCGTGATTGTGCCTAGTTGTGAAAAGATGGAGTGGTAGCAGAGGAGGGACAGAGTTTGCTCACAGTGGGCAGAGCTGCCTGATATGGTTGTGCAGATTACACCTTGCTCAAAGGTGCCCAGCCAAGTGAGCAAGTGGGGACTGAAACCCATATGTGCTCTGCTCTCCAGGAGTCTAGACTGGATACACCAGCCAGGAGTCAGGGACTTCTTTTGGTGATTCATCCCACCCATAGGGGGCGCCTTTTCCTAATTTACCTAAAGAAGCTACTGCTTGTTACCAGAGGCTCGGATATTGGTAAGAAAACAACTTTTCATCACAGAGGGTCAGGGAGAGAGCTGAAGAAATTGGGGGGAAAGTTGGAGCACTGTCCTTGAACATGGATACCCTCAGCTGAAGCATCATCTATAGCAAGGGTGGGGAACCTTTCTCCTGCCAAGGGCCATTTGGGTATTTATAACATCATTCGAGGGCCATACAAAATTATCAACATAAAAATTAGCCTGCTATATTGGTCAAACATTTAATATACTCACCCTAATGCCTTAGCAGGGCCAGACCAAATTATTTGGGGGGCCTTATATGGCCGAGGGCCAGATGTTCCCCACCCCTGATCTATGGAAAGCTTGCTATTCCATTCCTGATGCCCCCTGAACAGAAGGAAGGGGATCTGGACAGCCTGTGTGTGTGGGGGGCGGGGGGGCAGAAGGGGGGCATGAAAGGAGAACCGCACAGCAAGACCAAGGTGATCCTGACCAAAGCCAAGGGGTTCTTCATTAGCAGTGGCCCCTCCCACCTGGTTATACTCACCACCTTCACAGTCTTGTTTCCTCCATTTCCCCCCACTCACCCTATAATGTAGTCACAACCATTTATTTCCCATTCTAATTTCTCAACTTTGACCCTTTATATTACTCATCTAGCATGGTATACACTACTAACCCTCCATTCCCCATTAGCCAAAATACTACACATTCTTCACAGCACAGCTCAAAAACCAGCTCTGTAAACCTGCACCGAACTTCCCAACAAGTAAAAATCACTCAACCCCTTTTCTTTACTCCAACAGCTCATTTCTTGTTTCTCTCTATAACTCTCCTTTCAACTTATTTCACGGTGTCATTAACTGCTTACAGGTGATCTGTTCAGTAGCTATAGTTCCTTGGGGGCTTTCTATCTCTCACAACCTTTTTGACCTAATTTCCTGACAATAACTTCGTTCCTATACGCGATTTTTTAAAAATCATAGCAGGAGGAGAGGACACTCACTATCTACATAGGCCTCTAGAGAGACCACAGAATTGAAAATGGACTCTTAATAATTTCAAAACAGAGGACAGATAATGCATTTAAAGAATCAGATTCATATTTAACTAACATTTATTAACTACTAGGTGCCTGCTATGTGTTAAGACTTTTCACATATGTCATCTTTTTAAAAAAAATAAGTTTTAAAAATATTTTTATTGATTTCAGAGAGAAAGGGAGAGGGAGAGATAGAGAGAATCATTGATTGGCAGCCCCCTACACATGCCCCTACTGGGGATCAAGCCTGAAACCTGGGCATGTGCCCTGACCAGGAATCTAACAGTGACCTCCTGGTTCATAGGTCAATGCTCAACCACTGAGCTACACTGGCCAGGCACATATGTCTTCTAAATTACTCCTTAAAATTATATGAAGTAAGGTTTATTAATCCCATACTTCAGATAAGGAAACAGACCCCAGAAAAAGCTAAGTGACTTAAGTCATATAAGAAGCAAATTATGGAGCCAAGATTTAAACCTAGGTATGGGGAGTTCAAGGTGAATCTTTTGTTCACTTCATCTAGGGGATGGCTCCTTTTGCTACACCAGGTGGTACTGATGAAGCAAAGAATCATCAAAGTAATTCCATGTTCCCAAAGTTCAAGGATCATTTAGCTTACAACCCATTCTACATGTGAGAAAACTAAGGCCCAGAGAAATAAAGTGATTTGCTATAACTCACACAACTCTTAGGGAGCAGAGTAGTAGAGCTGGTATCAGACACTCACAGCTTCAGGTCAATGTTCTTTCCACTCTACTATATTACGTGATTGCACTGTACAAAGCTCAATGTTGAATTAGGAAAGGAAGGTCAGGGATTAAATTTTATTTAGTTGTCTAGTCCTCTGCACTGGACACTTAAAAGCATTTAATTCCTTAATCAAATGGCTGAAATTTTCAGAAAAAACTCCCCCCCGCCAAAAAAATCCCTTATTAATAAGTATGTCTCACCCATACTACCTTTTTCTTTTTTTAATTAAATTTAACTTTTTGTAAAACTTTTCAATTACAGTTTATATTAGATTCAAGTGTATCACTCCACACAGCTTTTAAAGGGCAACCACGACAACTTGGGGTGAGGAAGGCGACTTGGTGCCGTGGGTTCTTAGGGAACCGGCAGCGAGTGTTCTCATTGCCCTTTTATATAAAGTCCTGCTTGAGAAAGTGCCCTGCCGCCACATACCGCTTCCTCCGCGTCTGCCAGCTGACATCCCAAACATGAAGTCAGATTAGAGAAGGATGGCCGTTTCCTGGAGTCGAAAGCCCAGCAGGATTGCATTATAAAGTATCTGTAAAAGAAACAGAACAAGGAGCAAGATGAGGAAATCTGAATGGAGAAAAAGGGATAATTTTTTACATAATGAAGTACCACTGATGGCCAGGGAGCTGCGTGTTTGTGGCATGTTTGTTTTGTGGCAAGTACTTGACTGGATTTTGAACTCATATCAGAAAGGACAAATTTGATGATGGACAGAAATGCATTTTAAAAAATATGATGTGGACCAGAGTCAGGAGATGGAGTCTTATCACTCAGGATCCCTCAAGCAAAGGAATTGAAACCCAGAAGTGAGAGTACCTTAGGGCAGGAAAGGTTCGGTTTTGTTCAGAAACCCCCCAAACACAGCGGGGGAGTTTTCTTTTCTAAAGAGGAATCACATGAGGTTTGCATTAGGAGTTTTACTTTTCTTGTCATGAACTGGGAACTAGACAGACTAAGCATTTCTAATTACAGCCACTTCACAGTCTGTGTGAACTTACATTTCTTCTGTAGCATAAAATGGCTGGTCCATTTTAAATCCACTCTGAATGAGTTTATAGAAGTTTGCATCAACTGGAATGCCAGGGTAAGGGTTGACACCTAAGGGAAACATTGGGGATTAAAAACATTTATTCATTCTTTCTCTCCTCTCCTCTCCTCTCCTCTCATCCCCTCCTCTCCTCCCCTCCCCTCCCCTGCCCTCCCCTTCTTTCCTTTCCTCTCCTTTCCCTTTCTTTCTTTCTTTTCTTTCTTTCTTTCTTTCTTCTTTCTTTCTTTCTTTCTTTCTTTCTTTCTCTCTCTCTCTCTCTCTCTCTCTCTCTCTCTCTCTCTCTCTCTCTCTCTCTCTCTCTCTCTCTTTCTCTCTTTCTTTCTTTCTTTCT